AAAAGGGATGCAAATGGGATGGCGGATACCCTAGCAAAACAAGGGGCAAATAGATCTTCATTGTATTGGGCAGAATTGTAACTGATTGCTGGAGATTGCAATTTCCTATGCAATCTTTAGCTATTGTATCTTAATCTCTCTGTTATTAATGAAAGATTTTTACTGATCAAAAAAAAGGATGGAGTTTCTATTTTATTTAATTAGAGAGAGAGAATAGAAAAAAACAGAACCTCTTTATAATTCTATTCTTTCTTTCCTCTTTCTTTTTTTCTTTCTTTCTTTTTCTCTCCTCAAAACCCTTTGATCTTTAAATTTCAATAGTAAAACATTAAAACAAAGTATAATTGATATATATAGCACATAATAAAATGTATTAATACATACATTAATAAGATATAGCAATATAAATGATATTATAAAAGGTGCCCACCTTGTCATTTTTGTTGCCTAGAAGGGCACCTAGTTGTTAAAAGTCAAGGTGTTTGGCAAGGCACCTAGTCACCTAGGCAACACCTTGACAACTATGGCCTTGAAACTAGAGAATGACTGTGTAACCTAACATGTTTTAAGATAAGCTTTTTTTATTTCCCTTTTTCCTTTTAAATCCAGCTTTGATCAAGTTTGATTGTCAATCAGTTGATTTACCCAACCAAGTTTGATGCTCCATTGATCCACAATCCAAATCTCCATGTTTTGAAATACTTTTCAGCATTCCCCAAATCCCCCATCCTGATGCCACTTTTGATTTCTCAAATGTCAGAGTAGAAACACCAAATTGAAAAGTTCTTTTGGATACTTTTTCATCCTTTTCCTTTTGGTAGGGAGGGACTTGGTGAAGTCAAAAGCCTCAGTCTTTTTGCATGTATTCAGTTTAAAATTTCATGACTTTCTATCTCCTTTTCTTATTTACTCCTTAATATATCTCTTTGATCTGTTACCTATCAACAAAAAAAGGAAGAAAAAAGCTTTATCTTTTTTCTTATAACTAATCAAAGAGTATGATATATATACATACATATTGCGACAAAAAATAGAAGTATGAAACTCAAAAAAATAGAAAGAAAAGAAAAGAAAAAACTAATGAACTAGATTTCAGAATAACCAGACATGTAATCAAAATAGTACCTAAATGTTGATGAAGCTTTGGGTCAAGTACTTGAGTAATTGATGCTAGATTACTTAATTGTGTTTCCACACCAACGGAGCTGTCCGTGCATCTGAAATTTCCTCGCTTTAAAAATCAAATAGCAATGCACATCATAAGCAACTTGAAATCGAACAAATTAGAAAAAAATAACAAAAAGTAAACAAGATGCAATTTCAAGAGAACAAGAACGGATTTCTCATATAAAAAGAAATTATAAGCATTAGAAAATTTGGAATCTGCAAGGCCTTAAACAAGTTTGCAAGAATAATATCATTTAATCCTTCTGGTGGGAGCAATTATTGGGAAGATTGAAGGTCTGTATGTAGATGGGTGGTAATTATAAATAAGTTTGCTGGTATCAAACAAGAAAAGATCAGGAAGCAGTTGGAACACATCATTTTTTATTCTTTTTTTTTTTCATTCTTCTCAATGGAATCTAACCCCCTCTTGGCCTCTTTTGCAATTAATACAAATTCTAATTTATCAAAACAATAACTAAACCATTTGAATAAGTAGATTGAAGGAATCAACTCCTATGAAATCCAATAGAAATACTTTAGATTCATATATCTGTTTCTAGATAAAATTAGAGGAAACCATAATTAGAAGATCATTTGATGCAGGCAAGTAGTTTTCTCTTCAGATTTCATTACAAAATGTAAAGATATCAGAAAGAAATACGAAATTCCCTATAAGCCAACTAATACATTTTACACAATTACATGAATATTTAGAAAGGAAAAAAGAAAGAAGAAACCAATAAACAAACACAGAAATCTATTAAAAAATGAGGGGCTTATAGTCCCAATACTTGAATTTTCATGAATCAAAATCTTCATACTTTATTCATTTAATACACTGCACTGAATATAACATCCATAAAATATTGGGAGAAATAAAAAAAGGCACTTTACATTTTCAAAGATCGCCTCCTAATTGCAAATACTCATCTTTTCACAAATCAGTGAAGGAGTATATCTTCATTTTAACTAAAATGTTTAGAAATTAGTTGTTAATACATTGTAGAACTTTTTAATACATTGTAGAAGTTGGAATGCAATTTTATTTCCAGCTCAAAGACTCAATAAAAGGTTCTGACAGTGGAAGAAATGAATACTTTCATGAATTTCTAGCAGATACAACAACTGAATTATTACATAGTATGATAAAAGAGAAACAAGATGGGCCCAAGAAACATAGTGAACCCTGTTAATAACTAGAATTACGTATTTTGACAAAGCTCCATAGAGATACTCAGAAAATTAGATAATTATTTTAGTTAAAGAACCAAGAATTTACCAAAAGAAATGCCAAATAAAGGAAAAACAAAAAGACAAAGTTTGTTATGCTAATTTATGTGCAAATGAACACATTACTGTAGTGAGTTTATCAATGAGTTCTATGAGAGTATTAAATTGACAGGGAAATCTTTCATAGAATAGGTGCCCAACAAACCAAAATACAAGAAGAAAATTTAAAGGCACTAACAAAAGAAAACAAAAAAAGAGGAGGTACATGAATGTTCTATGCCCTTCTGATGGGAATCTAAACTTCAAAGATACATATTTACATTTAGGTGAATAATATGAAGGCTATGAATAAGAAATGCATACCAATCTGCGCATCAAACGTTCAAAGCACCAAAATGCATCTCCTTCATCTTCAAGAAGCATTATCATTGGAGAGCAGAGATCACTCATTCCTGCTCAGAAATTTACAAAGTTCAAATGTTTTAGCACTTTGTTTTGAACAGATAAACATGGAAATCATTACAAAACTGGACAAGGAAGTGCATTGTGCTAAAGAGAAAAAGAGTTTACAGAGATATGGTGGGCAAGTCAGAACTCAGAAGATGGAGAAAGTAAGTGAAAGAACTTTTGATCTGGCTGGAAGATGGAGAAAGCAAGTGAATATATAAGCAAAGGTTTTCATCGCTGAAGAAATAAGAACAAAAGGATTGGAGAAACTGAAGCTGCGAGAAGGGAAGAAGGGTACAGTCTTTTTGATGGAAGGAGAGTAGGAGACCTACAGTGGTTCAAGTGTTTCCTGGTAGGGGCTTGCAAGTTGTTTAGCATACAAGAGTGGAGGAGTCTAAGGAGTTATAGAAAATACTTTGAAGTGGAAACAAGAAACAACAAGAATGGGTGGTTCATTACTTTGACTGAATGATTCGGGAATGATAGAAAACAGATGGTCTGATTTCCAATGGGAAAACAGAGATTGGGATGGAACAAAATCCTGGAAGTAATACAGGGCTTTCAACAGAGGAAAAAAGTGGATTATGTTGATGCAGTAGTGCCGGTTTTGAAGGAACAGCAGAGGAACAAACAAAGGAAGAGGAAATGGTGGTGAGTAAAATGGATACACAGGTTGCAGAGGGGGAAGACTTACACCTCTCTTGCTACACTAAGCAACCAAAGCTAAGGACAAATGCAAACAAAGTAAGTCTGGGGCAAAAGACTGATCATAGCTGCAAATATAAAAAAAAAAAAATCTGATTGGGAAGAAGTTGCAGAAAGCATCAGGAAAAGTTATCCTCGGCCCCCTTTCAGAACTGCAAAGCAATCATGGAGCTCCCACTCCCTTTGATTGACTTCTGGGTGATGCAGATTCAAATGAAGGAAGGTTGGATCCAATGGTTTAAAGTATCAATACACCTTTGTGTATAGGCAAGGGTGCATTGATACTTTTTTTACCACACTTTTTATTTTTTAGTTTTTTTTCCAAATTTCATTTTTATAAAGGTTTTTATATTACTTAATTAATAAAAAAGTTGGGGGTCCTAAAAACACCTATAAACAGGTGTATCAGACACCCAAAGATATGATACAATATGCCCGATGGGGCGTATCGTATTGATACTTTGAACCTTGGTTGTATCAATGCCCAGTGTTGGAGCCCTGGCTTTGCCCTGGGGGAGAATCCTTGAGTGAAGATTGTGGGACTTCCCTTCCATCTTTGGGCAAAATCGACTTTATGGAAAATTGCACAGCTATGTGGTTCAGTACTTGAAGAGCTTAACATTAGTAACCCTTGTGCAGCTTCCTTCAAACTGCTGGGAGTAAAACTAGAGAATGTTCCCCAAATGGTGGAAGTTCAGGCAGAAGGTATGGAACACAAGGTCTAGATTCTTTTAGCAATGGAGGCAGTTGGGAGGAAGCAGAGGAAGAAGAAGATGACGTGGCTCCAAGAAGAACACTTGGCACCTCGGTGTTGGGGTGGAGAAGGCAAATGGCCTCTTGCCAAAGAAGGCCAACAGTCACTTCAAGACGAAAGTAATTTGCAGGTTACCAAGATGGTAAAACAAGAACCTTCAATTGGCCATCACAGGGTCCAATTCAAATCGTTTGCAGAGGTAGTGGAAGGGTTGCCAATTACTTCGAGAAAGGAGATAAAAGAAAAAAAAAAATAAGTGAGAGTTGGAGGGGTTGGTGAACCAAGCCGGACTAAGCCCTTTGTAAGACGAAGCCTAACTCTTTGGAACCGAGCCTTATAAAGGCACATGACAACTTAAAAGAGCATGTGCCCCACTTAAGTACTTCAGGACTTGGGAGATGTTAATAGGAGTCTATCATCATCCCCTCCACTTGATGGAGAAGCCCCTGTTAAAGATCTCTCAAAGAAGTGTGGCTCAATAGTCTTGGCTCAGCCAAAAAGAGCTCCGCCCCTTTGGAGTTTTGTGGAAATTGCTCTCTAGTTTGGAGATCAATGCGCTCAGAGAACTCTAGAACCCCAAATAGGCCAAATCCAAGGTATTGTACAAGCACGTGTGAACTGTGAAGTTACGGAAGATTCACAAGATTTTGAATTTGAAGAGGAAGAGGAAGTTAATCAACCCACCAACATAGGGAGCATTGATTTAACGAAGGTTTGTAAGAATTGGGAAGATGAGGATTTGGGGACAAAATTGTTATTTGCATACTCCACAATTGAAGAGAGTTGGGGTTGAAAATTATACCTTTGATTGGGGGGGGGGGGCGCGATAAACTCTAATTCCAAGAAGGACAAAGAATTGCCTCTCAACCAAAGCCAAGAGCAGGTGTTAGAGCAGAGGGACTTAGATTTTGCTACTAATATAAGCGCAACAGTAAAAGAGGGATAGTTTAAAGAGTGGAGCAAGGAGGTTCTAACCCTTTTAACTCCTCGTCTTTTGTTTTTCCTCTTCTTTCTTCAATTCCTTCTTCTGTTGGTCCTAATTTGGAGCCCTTTGTTCCTGTCTCCGATGTTTGTAGTGCCAAACTGCCAATGAGAATGGGGTAGGGATCTCAGGAGAGGAAAGGAGGTGAAAGATGAGGGTAAAATTCCTAGCCTAGTGTTGGATAATTTATCTTCCTTATTGGAAGTAGAGGAGAAGAGGGGTAGTGTTGGAGGTGTCTCATGAACCCTACAAGAAGGGAAGCCCTTGTACTAGAAGAAGGATTTGAGAATCTGAAGGAAGACAATATCTTGGAGGCTTCCACTGAAAGTAAATGTTTACTCAAGAAAAGATATGGAAGGGGGAAAGCAAAAAAAAAAAAAAAAAGTAGGGAGATTGGTGATTGAAATAACTTATGAGAAGTGGAGTAATAAAAGGAAATAAAAAGGGAGAGGGCTTCAGTTAGAGGGAGTTTTCAACGGACAGCATCTGGATCTTAGAATGAAAATTATTAGTTGGAATGTGAGGGGTTTAGGAAGTGCAAGGAAGAGGAGGTTAATAAGGAGGGTTTTGTGGAAAGAGAAACCAAATGTATTCTTGATCCAAGAGACAAAACTGCCTGAACTAGATAGAAGGTGGACACTAGAAGTATTTGCGGAATTAGAGGACTAAGTTAGGCTTTTGTACCGTCTTGGAGAGACTCAAGGGTCAAGGGGTATACTTACAATCTAGAAGAATGAAGAATTGGATTGTGTAGAAGAACTCATAGGAACAGTTTCAATCAAAGTTAAAAAGGTAGTTGATGGGGGGGAGTGGGTATTGACCAATGTCTATGGCCCTAACTTGTACAGAGAGAGGGACTAGTTTTGGGAGGAGTTAAGTGCAGCAAGAGGTTTGTGGGAGGGACCTTGGTGTTTAAGGGTAAATTTCTATGTCATAAGATTTTCAAGGGAAACTAACAACCCAAACCAAAGCATTACCCAAAACATGAGAAAGTTTAACATGCTAGCTGATACCTTTGAGCTGAGACCCACCTCTACTACAAGCTTATTTCACCTGGTCAAATTTCCAAACCAGCCCAACCTGCTCTAAGCTCGATAGGTTCCTCTTTTTCAATAGATTAGGAAGGGTTGTGAGAAAACTTGGTTGCAAGGGCTTTACCTTAGAACAAGAAAAGTTGTTAGGTGGCCCTTTACCTACTTTCAAAGAAAGAATTAAGTCTTGGTGGGGAGAAGGTAGACCTAGAAATAAGAAAAAGGGTGTTAGATTCATAAGTCAAGGACCTAAAAGAAAGAATCAAGGATTGGAACAATACTCACTTTGGAAGGTTAGAAGAGGCTCAAGAAAAAATCTCTTCAAAAATTAAGGCCTTAGATAAGAAAGAAACCCAAAGAATTTTGAGTGAGGAAAAAAGAGAAGAAAGATGGAGGTTGAAGGCACAATTGGAGGAAAATAAGGAAGGAAGAAATCTCATGCAGACAAAAATCTAGAAGTAAATGGCTTCAAGAAGGGGATAGGAATACAAGTTTTTTCCATTCTCTTGAAAATGGGAGAAGGAAAAGCTTTATCACCTCGGTAGAGGTGGATGGACAGGAAACCAGGAGGGAAGGGGAGATCATCAAATTACTTATGGATCACTTCAAAGGTATTTTCTCCAGAGGAGATAATAGAAGCCAAGAACTACCTGATCTTGAGTGGAATAGGTTGACAAATGATCAATCTAGGTATTTGGAGAGCAATTTTACAATTGAGGAAATCAAAGAAGTCATTTTCCCTAGGGAGAGATAAAAGACCCTTGGTTTGATGGATTCTCTATGGCATTCTATCAAGACATTATTAGGAGATTTTAAAAGATGATTTGCTAGAGGTCTTTGAGAAATTCCATCAAAAAGGAGAGATTTCACCAGGAGCAAATGCAACTGTTATTGCCCTAGTACCTAAGAAGAAAATTGCCACAACCCCAAGAGATTACAAACCTATTAGTCTAGTGGGCAGCCTGTACAAAATCTTAGCTGAAGTATTGGCAGGTAAATTGAAAAAGGTCTTACCTTCAATGATCTCACAGTTTCAAGGAGCCTTTGTGGATGGGAGACAAATAGTTTACCAAATCCTAGAGGAAAACGAGTGTGTAGCAGAAAAAAGGAAAGCTAAGGGAAAGGCTTCATCTGTAAACTTGATCTAGAGAAGTCTATGATTATGTGGATGGTCTTTATCACTTGAGGCTATGGAGAAGATTGGGTTGGGGGAAAATGGAAAATGTGGATTAAGGGATGCCTAAGTTCGATGCAATACTTTGAGGAATTCCACTCCAAGGCTGCTTTGGAAAGATGCCTCAATTCCACCTTCATCACTCTAATCCCCAAGAAGGAAGGAGCCTTAGGATTGAAGGACTTCAGGCCCATTAGCCTCCTTGGAAGTGTTTATAAAATTCTTGCAAAAGTTTTGGCTTCGAGGTTGAAAAAGGTGATGGAATTGTTCATCTCCCCTACCCAAGGAGCTTTTGTTGAAGGGAGACAAATCCTTGATAGCGCCCTCATTGCTAATGAACTGATTGACTCTCAAAGGAGGGAAGGCAGAGATGGACTGATTCTCAAGGCAGATTTGGAAAAAGATTTTGATCATGTCAGTTGGAGCTTCCTAGATTACATGCTAAAGAGATTGAATTTTAGCTCAAAATGGAGGAGCTGGATCAAGGTATGTGTCACTACTCCCACTTTCACAATACTCCTCAATGGGACCTCTTGCAGGAAGTTTAAAAGCTCTAGAGGCCTAAGGCAAGGGGATCCCCTATCCCCTCTTCTTTTCATCATAGCTATGGAGGCCCTAAGCAAACTTGTTTTCGGGCAGTTGAGGGAGGTTTCAATCTTCTTTGCCTTACTACAGTTTGCTGATGATACCATCTTCTTTCTTGACTCTTCAGCCAAACAATTGACTTCTCTAGGCTTCATTCTAAGGTGGTTTGAAGCTATCTTAGGTCTCAAGATTAACCTCTCTAAGAGTGAGCTCTTAAAGATTGAAGATGGGCTACCTGACCCCACTTTGGTTAGCATTCTAGGCTGCAAGGTACGGAAACTACCCTCCACCTATCTTGGCCTTCCCCTGGGTGCCAGATGCAGCTCCAAGAAGATCTGGGATCCTGTTATTGACAGATTTGATAAGAAACTTTCTTTGTGGAAATCTAAATACCTTTCAAAAGGAGGTAAGCTCACCTTAATCCGGAGTGTTCTTTCTTCACTCCCTATCTACTATTTGTCTTAATTCCAGATGCCTGTAAGTGTTGCAAGGGTCCTAGAGAAGAAAATGAGGGACTTCCTTTGGGCAGGTTGGAGGAACACCTTCTAATTCAACTTGGTGAACTGGAAATTTGTGTACCAGCCTAGAGAACTTGGAGGCCTCAGCATCAGAAATCTCGAAATGGTAAATAAGGCCCTTTTGGGTAAGTGGTGCTGGAGGTTCAACAAGGAAAGATACTGCCTCTAGAGAAGGCTTATTGAAGACAAATATGGGTATTTCGGTGGGGACTCAGGTCCTGGTCTATCTCCTAGGGATGTGCTTTATGGAGTAACATAGCCTCTATTCTCCCTGTTTTCTTGAGGGGTATCAGATGCAAGGTTGGTAAAGGCAATCGCCTCAAATTCTGGCATGACAGGTGGTGTGGAAACCAGACTCTACAAGAGAGATTTCCTTCTCTTTTCGAGATTGCTCTTGACAAGGATGCTGTGGTCGAAGACTGTTTTGATTGTGTGAATGGAGAGGTTATTTGGAGTCCCACTTTCATAAGAAACCTCAATGATTGGGAAATTGGTCCTCTATCTGAGCTGTTAAATCTAATTCAAAGCATCCAGCCTAATCTACAGACTGAAGATGAAAGATTTTGGGCTTGGAGCCCCTCAGGAAAGTTCTCCCGTCTTTCTACATTAGCTTGCTTCCATATGAGGGTATTGACTTCCCATGGGCCTTGATCTGGAATTCTCATGCCCCTTCTAAGGTTTTCTTTCTGGTTTGGACTGCTGTTTTGGGTAAATGTCTTACCACTGATCGGCTGCTCAGAAGGGGGATGTCCCTACCAAACATCCTATGTCCTCTATGCAACGAAGTTCCTGAATCCTCCAACCATCTATTCATTCATTGCAGCTTCTTCTCCCAGCTGTGGGGTTTGACTTTCTCCTGCTTTGGAGTCCAATCTTGTCCACCTGAATCAGCCCTTCAGCTCTTGCAAGGATGGTCTCTCAAGGGTTTGAACAATAGGGGTAAATTTCTTTGGAGGATTTTCCCTTCTGCCATCATTTGGGCCCTCTGGAAGGAAAGGAACAGTCGAATTTTTGACAACTCTTTTTCTGTAGTTTCAGTAAAGAACAAGGTTATAGGCTTTTGGTGTTCTTGGTTAAGGGGGTGTCCAGCTTTACTCTTTTTTGCAAGCTGGACCTTTCTTTTGTTGACACTGTATATTCCCATTGTACATGGGCTGTTACTTTTTACTTTAATACAATCAATACTTTACCTCCTTCAAAAAAAAAAAAAAAAGTCTGGTGCCATACTCCCTCCTGATCAATGGAACTGATAGAGATTTCTTCTGAGCAAAAAGAAGCACAAGGCAAGGAGACCTCTTATCTCATTTCCCATTCACTCTAGTGCAGAGGTGCTTAGCAAAATTATCATCAAGGCTGACTTAAACAACCTGATCAGAGGTTGGAGGGAGGGGAGGAATGAGGTTGTGGTTACCCACTTGCGATATGCAGATGATATAATTCTTTTCTATGACGATGTTACTTGTTAGCCTTCCTTCCTTAGGGAACCTCCATTGGAAATGTTTCAAAGTTGAAGGTGAACCTAGGAAAAAGCTACGTTGTAGGCTTAAAGTTGCAAGAGGAGGAAATTGTTAGAATAGCAGACATCTTAGGTTGTGAAATCAGAAGCTGGCCTTTGGATTATTTAGGTCTACTATTGGGAGGAAACCCAAGGCCTAATGGTTTTTGGAAACCGGTGGGGGAGAGATTTGCTAGGAAGCTAGCCTTGTGGAAAAGGAACTATTTTTCAATGGGGGGGGGGGAGGAGATTAACTTTAACCAAAGCAACTCTAGCTAACCTTCCTGTGTATTATTTATCCAATTTTAAAATTCCAATCAAAATAGCAAGAAAGTTGGAGAAGATGACGAGGGACTTCTTATGAGAGCTAGGAGATGTAAAGAAAGATCATTCAGTGAAATGGGATTATGGGAGCAGGTTTGTAGACCAAAGGACAAAGGGGGCTGAGGATAGAGAACTTAGTTTGGAAAAATACAGCTCTCCCAGAAAAATGGTTATGGAGATTTTCCTTAGAACGAGAAAGGCTTTGGTATAGGGAGATTGAAAGTATACACGGGTTGTCGGACAATGGTGGGGATGCAAAAGTAGCTCCCAATGCATCATCTTCATCTCCTTGGAAAGCAATTCATGAGGTGTATCCTTCCTTCCTTAGCCATATTCATTTTGATGTGGGATGTGGGAACAAGGTACTGTTTTGGGAAGACCTATGGTTAGGGGAACAACCTTTAAAGACCCAATTCCCCTTACCTTTTGCTTTGTCAAATTATAAATCTGAACCTATTTCCAAATTTGTGATCAGCAACTATGGTGCATGGGTTAAACTGGGATTTTGGTTTCATAAGGGGTCTAAAGGAGATAGAAGGTAAGACTCATACTTCTCTTGGCCAAGCTAGATTCAGTTTTCTTTGACCAAAGTACAGAGGACTCAAGGGTTTGGGCTATTGCTACAGATGGTATTTTCACATGTGCTTCTTTCTTCAATATCCTAATACAGCCTACCACTTTGGGTTTAAACCTCCCAATGAAAGAAATTTGGAGCAAGCCAATTCCACCAAAAATTCAATCCCTTTATTGGGAGATCTTTCTTGGAAAGATAATACCTGTGATTTGCTGCATAAAACAAGGCCAAATAAATGTCTCTCCCCCCCCCCCTTGAGTCTCTTTGATCCAAACCTTTTGAGACAGCCAAAGAAGAGAGGAAGAATTTTGTGGAAAGCAGTGCGAGCAACACTGATTTAAACTGTTTGAAAAGAAGAATAATGAGAGGACCTTCAATGAGAAGAGCAGGTCTGAATCGGATATCACAGATACCATAAAGATAAAAGTTGCACACCAGGTAAAAACCTTTGAAACTTTCCATGATTTCTCCTTTAATGATATTTTGAGATCATGGAAGGAAGTGGCAAATTCAGCCCAGGAGAAGGAGAGAGTGATTATAGAATGGAGACCATCAACAACCAATGCTTTGAAACTAAATTTTGACGGAAGGTTTTGGGAAGTGAAGGAAGGACTGGTTTAGGCTTAGGAGGTGTCGTTTGACATTCAGAAGGTAATCTACTAGACTATATTTGGGTCCTGTAGAGCAAGGAGATTCATTGACAGCAGAACTATTGGCTCTGCTACAAGGGCCGAAATTTGCAAAACAGTTCGGGTTCCAAATGCTGGAAGTGGAAGGGGACTCCCAGGTGGTTATTTCATGGACAAAACTCGCAATCGAACACGCTGTATTTACAGAGCAAGATCCAGGAAATTAAATGCTTAATAAGGGAATCCTATGTTACTTCTAAAGGGGTGAGAAGATCTGCAAATGGCTTGGCAGATGCTTTAGCTAAACAAGGGGCAAATAGGCAGCAGATATTTTGGGCTAAATTATAATGTTTGTTCTGAGATTAAAGTTCAAATTTTACAGGGGTAATCAGTTGGAAGTGGGTAATCTACCCACAGCAATGTGACATCCAGTTTAATTATATACTTAATAAATTCTACCTTTGCTGACCAAAAAAACAAATTCATTACAAAACTGGACTCTGAAACTGGTTACCAGATGCAACAAGAATGTGGCATACCTACAGTGTAGATAATGACATGTAGTCTTAATAATGAACCATGCCACAGGCATTGAACTCATTCTAAGTATTTGGATGCTATAGCTAAGAAATGACAATAGCAACACTCACATTTGGTTGTTTAGATCTGTTGTTAACCAAATGCAAAATAAGGCTTCCACTATTGTCTCTTGTAAGCTGAGCTACAAACTTAGTAGCAAATCTTGTAAGGCTGGCTTGGTTATGTGGCAGTGGCACTCACAAATAATCAACTTATTCTTGAGATCAGGTAAACCCCTACTAACCCAATATTTGATTACCCACCTTGACAGTAGCCAACATCTTTATCTATCCAGGCATAAACTGCCAGAATATCCCAAAGCTTTGATAAGTTTTCTTGCTTCTCATAAAAAACCAATGTCCTATCAGTACGAACCACGTCGAGACCTAACATAAATAACAATCATTCATTAAAAGAAAAGTTGAGATAACACCATACAAATAACTTTAATAAGCTCATTTGAACAATCAAAAAAATAATAATAAGCTGAGGTGAAAAGTTTTCAAACTCTGTAATAGGATATAAAATTGTACCATTTCTGTCCCAAAAGAAAATTGTTTCTCGAGAACTTGTGTAAGGTTAAGAAAATCATTCATGAGGAAACCAGAGAACAATCTAAACTAAACCAAATATCGTGTCATGTTATCCAGAAGCCTATTAACAAAGCATATAAAATAGTAATAACAAAGAAGCAGTTGAGGTAAACCTTGAATAGAGACAAATCAGACTCTTTAGCTTAAGCATAGAAAATAGGAAGTCATTAACAATGTTCAATGCCCTGATATGATCCTGAAAGTGAATATCTATTGGTAGAAATTACAATGTATCCTTGTAAATATCTCACTTGAGTTACAGAGGAAGTGACTTAGAGAACTTAATTCTCTCTAATGTTGATAAGGAGGAATTTTGTAACACATCTTATACTCATTTGTTATCAATTCGTCTCTCAGGTTTGATCAGACTTTGAACAACTTTATGTAATGGTAAAATCTCAGGATGGTAAGTGTGAGGATGCAGGTTCAAGTCTGAGAGCGGCTGCTTTATACAAAAATTCTAAACATTAGGACTGTACCCAGTCTACCCCTCCCATGACCTCAGATAGCTGGGACCAACATTGGGTTGTGGCCTTAATGGTGCTAACCCTTCTTTTGATGTAGTAATATAATTTACACATCTTACCTATCAAAAGAAAAGAAGTGGTTGAAAAATGAAATTTGAAAAGGTTAATTCTAACTTAATATGGTTATTTTGCTAATCAGCTTCAAACCTCTCTAGCAACATGACTTATGTAATTGCCTCCCATTGAGAAGTTCATAGTCAAGAGTAAATACGTCCCTCTAAATCCTTTATTTTAATTCTTCTATATAGCTGTGGTTGGCTAGGAGTATATTGGTCAATTTTTGCAGTATATAGCTTGGACCAACATTGGGTTATGGCCTTAATGGTGCTAACCCTTCTTTTGGTGTAGTAATATAATTTACATCTTACTTGTCAAAAGAAAGAAGTTGTTGAAAACGAAATTTCAAAAGGTTAAGTCTAGATTAAATATGATTGTTTTGCTAATCAGCTTCAAATTTCTCTAGCAACATGATTTATGCAATTGCCTCCTATTGAAAAGTTCATAGTCAAGAGAAGATATGTCCCGCTGAATCCTTTATGTTAATTCTTTTATATAGCTGTGGTTGGCTATGAGTATTATTGGTCAATTTTTGCAGTGTTACTACTTCGTATAAATAGAAAAAAGGGGGGCTGTGCAAGATATGTCTCACTGGAGTTACTATATTTATATCCCAGCAGAACATGTTTGTGATGCTTAATTCTGTCAATCTGTGGGGGCTTTAATCAGTCCCTTTGGGGATTTATGTTTCATGATCCTCCCCTTTCTTGTATGATGTTCTTCATCATGAATAAAATTTACTTTACCCTTTTTCAAAAAAATATACATATTTATATCCCAGCAGAATGGAGTGGCTGAGAGGAAAAATCAGTATTCCTTGAAGTTTCTTTTTTTTTCCTTGAAGTTTCAAGGAGTATTATAATCAAACCTTATGTCTATTCGATTCTTGAAATGTGTCCACCCTGCTACTTATTTGATTAATAGTAAACCCTTTCATGTTCTTGGTTTCAAAATACCATTTAGTCTTTTGTATCTTAATGATGAGTTGTTCTCCATTCCTATAATCCTATGAGGGTATTTCAGTGAATGTTCATGGTCCTCAAAGGTCAAATTTTATTTACCAAAAAAAAGGTCAAATTTGATCCTAAAGCTAGTAAGTGTGCTTCTTGGTTATGCATCAAATCAAAGAGGGTATGACTATTTTAATCCTATTACTGGAAGTTGATTTGTGTCTATGGATGTTACATATTTTGAATTCATACCATATTTTCCTCATCCTTTTGGTGGAAGGGGAGTATTGACATGTTTAACTCTTCCAAGGTTGCTCCTCTTTTAGTTCCAGTTCTTTTTACCTTGATTGATGCTTCCATTCATTCAGTTTTTTCTTCTTTTACTTCAGCTATGAGTCCTCAAAAGGAGCTACAGGCCTATCTAAGGCGTAAGAAGGTTGTTCCTCCTTCAGAAGCAAAGCTTCTTCCACCCTCATAACTCTGAAAGGACAGATCCAAGTATGCACTTACACAGTTTTGTTGACTTCACTGACATTGATATTCCTATTGCTTTAAGAAAGCGGAAACATTACTCGGCTATTCTCATCATATGTCTTAGTACTTTTATATGATCTTTTATCACATTCCTAATTTCCTATAGGTTTTTTCTTTTGTATCCTCTAAGTTTCTTCCTAAGAATGTGTCAAAGCATTGTCTAGGCCTGAGTGAAAGGAAATTATGCAAGTTAAGAAGGATGCCCTATTGAAGAATCAAACTCAGGATATTGTTGATTTGCTGGATGGGAAAGAATCAATGGGTTGTAAATGGGTCTTCATAGTGAAGTACAAGGCAAATGGCTCCATAAATAGGTGTAAAGCCAGATTGGTGGCTACAAGCTATACAAAGACATGTGAGTTGGATCATCTAGAGACTTTTTTACCTATTACAAAAAGTGAACAATGTTAGAGTTTCATTATCGCTTACAATTTCTACTCTTAGCCCTTATACCAATTAGATGTAAATAATGCTTTTCTAAACAGTAATCTAAATGAAAAGATTTATATGATTCTCCCATGTGGTTTCTATGGTAATTTGGAAAAGAGGAAGTATGCAAGTAGGAAAAATCTTTATATGAGCTGTAGTCTCTCTAGTCTTGGTTCAATCAGTTTAAGGGAGACTTGTTGAGAATTAGACTTACTCAAGTACAGTTAGGCCATACATTGTTTATCAAGAAGAAAAGTACTTTGCTTACAGCCCTCATTGCATATGTAGATGACATCATTTTAAATGGAAATAGTAGCTTGATCTAAGCATGATATATTTATTTCTCAGAAAAATGTGTAAATGGAAATTGCATATGTAAGGACCTAGGAGAACTACAATATTTCCTGGGTATTGATTATTGAGGTAGCTTGATACAAGCATGACATATTTGTTTCTCAGAGAAATGTGTTTTAGATTTACCAAAGGATGTAGGTAAACTAGGGGCCAAACTAGTTGATACACCTATTGAAAATTGATCCAAACCTATATTATCAACATCAGATAGAAAGTCATTAAAACACAACGGAATAATTCAGTGCTCAGTTGGGAAGCTCTTGTATTTCTGTATAATATAGCTAGACATTTCATATGTGGTAAGTATTGTCAGTCAGTTTATGCATACACCCAATGATACACATCTAGCTATGGTAGACAAAATTTAGCTTACTTAAAGGAACAGACAAGAAGAGGTATTTCGTTTCCCAATCATGGACTATATTTATGATGCAAATTAGGAACACAAATTGCAGTACACTACCTTCCCAAAGAACCCAGTACTTGACTAAATTCAGTTATCAACTTTGCATAGTACAGTTAAAGAAGGAAAACAAACATGGTTTGAAAGTGTTAACTCTGCATCATAACCATCCTGGTTCCAAGGTTAACCTTGGAATTAACATGGAATGTTCTATACATTTCCTAAAACTTACCATAGATAATATGTCTCTTTATCACATGATAATAATCAGTTTCTATGTTACTGGAATAGTTAAAGAAAATGGTAAGATAATATAATGAAACTTGATGATGCCTTAAGGCCCAGAGAACCAACAGTTTTTATATGCATATACTGTGTAAGCTACACATTGATTTGAAAGTTCAAATTCAGTTTGCAATCACAATAGTAAATAGTTACTGCAAGAATCTAAATTGAATCAGGTGGCATCAGTTTGCAACTCATGAAGGCAACATAAGAACCACCTATTTGTTTCTCTCTATATGCAAAACCAAGTATTGAAAAGAAAAAGAAATTATAGACAATATTTTAAGGTGAAACTACCTGCCAATAGTGCTGAAATTGTCATTTAAATGTATGAAATACCATAATTAAAGAGAAAGGTTTACCTATCTGATGTAGAGTGAGTTTCCATTGAATTATTTTCTTGTCCAGAATAATTTCACCTACTGGTGGTGGTGGCTTTGATACAGATTCTGATCCATTTGAACTTGCAGCATCTAATGTAGCATCATGTGATGTGTTGTCATTATCTAATGTAGCATCATGTGATGTGTTGTCATTATCTAATGTACCATCATGTGATGTGTTGTCATTAGAAGGCTCTGGCTTCACATCATCTTCATTTTTTTCTGCAGTTGAAGTAGGAACTTTATCTGGATTTGCTTCTAAAAGCACTAAAGGATCTTGAATAGGTACACCATCTTCAGTGATTAAGGGTGCAGTGATAATCCTTCCACTGCCAACAACAGGATCCATCTGCCTGCAATCTTCTTTCCACAAGGCATACTGCACCCTGAAGTTGCAAACACAAGAATGTTTTCATAGAAAAAAGTGGTATCAATCCCCTCGAATGTGCATGCCAAAGTATGGCTTCAAACCAAATGGAAGTATTTCCCTAAGTATCTTTTTACTGACACTATTCTCTCCTTCTCCTTTTAGCCCTAAATTAGGAATTATAGATGATCCAACCCTGGGATGAGATTTTATGATACTTTAATTAGGTGTAAGCCCATGCCTGGCCTGACTACAATACAAACCCTGGCTTGACACCAGTTTTTGACTGGTCATTTATGCACTAACCCTCATTATCCCATGTCCCTTTTTTTATAGTCACCGGTATGATATACGATATCATGCTTTAAGTTTCCAATATTTTGTATGAAGTAGGTAAGCCAAGTTACCTTCGATGTTGCCGTATCTGTTCTCGTTCCTCAAAGGTGCTATTAGGATCATAACAACCAAGTAGAAATTCCCAAACTTCTCCTCTAATTGAAGGATGAATACCCTGAGTTCATCCAAAAGAACGAAGTTTAACACTCACAGATTTTTTGCTTCTAAAAATTGATAGAAATAATAAAATTAAAAACCAGTGCCTTATTTAAAAGCTACAAGTTTCCTTTCACCAACATGACCAAAGGCATGTTGGTAATTTATTAACAAGTCAAGAAGATCTCTTTCATAATCCACTAACAAATGATAATGCTCATTGGAGAAAACCAAATTCACTTTTGTTGGTAATTTTGATAATCAGAAAGCACAATTATTAAATTAAGGGAATGAGAAGAAAAAAGTACATGAAACCCTTTCCTCTGAAGGATACAGAAGGAGAAAACAAAGCCAAAGATATTAAAAACTTAAGTTTATGTATAGATTCCTTATAACTCCATATCATTTTCTGAGCATGGAATCCAAAGAAACATGAAGTTCAAAAATGAAGACATGGACTAAACTGTGAAGGACAAAGATGATCTTGTGATCATACATAATTGTAGATTTCACCAGGAATGCCAGGAAAAAACAAATTGCTTGAATACAAAAATAAACAATACATATAGATTTATGTAATAAAACCTTGTTGAAGGTATCACAACAGCATAAAAAAAACAAAAAATAAAAAAATGAACAGAGAGAGAGAGGAGGAGAACATTAAGTGGGTTTTCAACCATTTAAAATATTAAAATGACATTTGAGATTAGTGACAACGAAGTTGCTATGATCCTTTAAAGCATTTAATTAGCATGGGTATTAAATAAAGAGAGACCTGATAATGAAAGAAAAAAACTGTCCAATAAAACCAAAGAAACCATAGAACAGAAAAATAGGTGAGAAATCAGAAGCAATTGGATAATGTGCAGACATCAAGTAGCCTCTCTTTAGCCTTTTCTTAAGAAGAGAAAAGAAGAAAGAAAAAAGGGAAAAAAACAAGGAAATACTTCTACCAATTCTTACAGAGAAGAATAATTACAGTATTGGATACCAACCTAATAGTAGAGGGTATGAATAACTGGAAGATAAGCTTAATGAAAAATAAAAAAAATAAATACAAAGAAAAGAAACTCAAAATAATGAAAATTCAAGATCTCCAATTTAAAAGCTTGCAATATGGGTTTCATTGGTTTCTATTTAAAAAGGGTGGAAAACAAAAGTTTTGATTGTAAAAGATTAAAAAATTAAATGAAATATTCTAAACTGAAAATTTCTCCACCCATTTCATGTAGAAACAAAAATCCATAATGACAATTGTTGATGATACTTCAAGAAGCCATCTCCGTGAAATACATTTATTCAGCCTAATATTTGGCCTCAAGCAATTCTAACTTGAAAGCATTGAAATAGGGTGATTTTCTAGTAATCCAGAGTCAACAATGACCAAATTTTTCAAAAAGAAAAAAAAAATATATATATATATATATATATAGAATCATGTAATAAGAAACTTTTTTGAGAAAAGTTAACCGATCATGTAATAAGAAACTTATAGATGATCCACTAAAAGTTCCAGCACCCACTTCAATAACCTGGTTTCTAAAAGGTTACCTACAAAAATAATTCATACAGCACAGACAACTATCAAAAGACAAGTTTGTCCAGAGACCATAAATAGTTAAAGATTTGAATACACATAATAAACAATGTTATAAGAATACCATCTCTCTTACAATATAGTGCATAGCCAAACTGTACAACATTTTTAACAGCTCATTGAGAAAATATGATATACCCCGTGTTGGATCCGGCCAAGTGTCTTCGAAATATCCAAGTGACCATCTGGACTAAATGCAGCATGCCATTTTCTTGCACTTAAAGTTTTACCAGCCTGCATAAACAGATTAGGCAGGAAAATTTAGATGTGGAAGGAATCAATGCACAAAACCATAGTGGATCTGGAAATACAGATCAAACTGAACTGACAGAAATAGATAAACAGATGCTCAAGATCCAAAATGTCACATTTAAAGAGTTTCAACAAGAAGAATTATCAATGGATTTAATCTTGATTATCCAAGTTCCTACAACACTACTCATCATAAGGAAATTAGGAAGTAGTCTAACAAGCATTGCATATTAGTTGGGCCAACAAGCATTACATATCAGTTGAAGTTGGCATGACGAGAAGCTAATTATTGATCCATTTACACATGACATTGAACCACTCCAATTGATTCTTATTCCAACTTTAATTGGAGACCAATGTCCATATCAGGAAAGTGAAAGAGAAGAAATTTCTCCCAAATTTGGATATTGAAAGTGGGTCACTAACTTCATCTGTCAGTGTTCAAAAATTGAAAAGAACAAGTAAGTGAAAGAGATTCTTAAAACTTGATGGATGAGGTGCAAGAAGACACATGCCTAAACAAAATGAGACACCACTTATCAAAGAAGAAAAGAAAATCTTAATATATAACAATGTGCAAACATAAATTATGAAAAAAAAATAGAATCCTGCTAACTCAATCGGTTAGATCATCAATGTTATCAACATGAAGGTGACAGTGTAGTAGGTTCAAGTCCTACATAGACTAGACTATTCAAAGTTTCAAACTCTACAAAATCGTAGTTAGAACCTAGAACATAGTTGTTAAGATGTGCCGAATAGGGGTAGTTTAGTCTTCTTCTGTTTATTAAGTAACTTGCTTATGTGGCAGTGTTATTAGAGTTACTCTGCCCCACACTTAAGTAAGGGCATTTCTGTCTTTGTAAACATTATTAGAATCTAATATAGATTAAGGGGGTCGACTAGATGGGAAACCATCAAATTTTCGACAGACCCTTCTTCTTCTTCTTCTTCTTCTTCTTCTTCTTCCTGTTCGAACTACTGTAGCAGCAGTCGAAACAATAGTAAATTACCTAATTCAAACATCAACTTAGAGTTAATTCAGAAAAACATAGAAACAAGACAAGTAAGATGCACCCCATAAAATGAGTCTCGCTTGCAAGTCTAGATGCACCTCTTAAAACATCAATCTACAAAGAGTTCACTTCTACTTTTCCATAAAGTGAAATTGTTTGTATTTTCTTTTAGGTGTCCATTCTCCCACAAAATGAAATCATTTGAACATTCGTTATAACTTAATACAAATTAAATAAGAATAATTATCTTAACAGCAGTAGCTCTTGGCATTTCAAAGCTTAAATGTGCAGGTCTAGCTGACTTGTATATAGCATTTTTTATAGTAAATCAATTACTCTAAATTATATACTTGTTTATGTTACCATTAAGATCTGGAAATACCTCAGTATGTGATTGAATGTCCTAGTAGTTAGAACCATTCTCTGGGAGGGAATTGGTTAGTAATATGTTTTAGATGATCTTGGATTTGAAACGATGGAAGATAATTTAAAAATGCAGGGAAAGAAAGACCTAACAAGCATGCTGAAATTGCCGGGAATGTGTCCAAGGTCAATTTGACAGAGGCCCCAACCAAATGGTGCCATTAGATGTTTCAATCTGTTAGAGTGTTTGCCAAGATGTCCTTGGAACATTAGTAGGAACGTATTGTTTATAACCTGGCATCAAGAAAACCAGGTAAAATTCGCAAATGCCGCAGGCAAAACAACTTTTTCCAATGGCAACAAAGAGAGACACAAGCACATCAAAATTCGACAATGCATATATTCTCCCAAGAACATAAAATTCTTAAATTGCATGTGTAATTGGCAGTAATCTAAATTAGCAAATAAAACACTGAACCCAACAAAACCAGCAACAGCCTCAAATATTTAACAACATACGAATAGAATAAAGATTGCAGAAAAGCAAAATAATCGAACCCTGATCTTGAACCGACTCTTCGGAACATCGGTGCATTCGGGCCGGACTTCATAAAAGGAATCCGCAGGAGTTCCGGGGTCCCTCCACATGCCGAATCGAAAGCTTATCCCAAGAAATCAAGAAATGGAGGCGAATTTCAATCACTAAATATATATTCAGAAACACCAGATTGGGGATGAAACGGAATCTCCAGGTGCCAAAAATTTCGACCAGCACAAACGAACTGGGCCCCCCCCCTTACAAGATCAACTCAATAGAAAATGTTAAACACTTACAGGGGAACCAGATCGGGTGCTGGTGAAAGCAAGACCAATCGACCGATTCACAGAAATAGAAAGAAGGGGGAACGATGAAAGAAGAAGACGAAGAAGGATTATCTCTGGCTTTTTTTTTACTAGTTAGTTTGTTTTTCTTATTATTTTTCGATATTTGTTACGTGGAGCTCATCATGGTTTTGTCCGCCAAAATGCTGAAAATGGTCGGAGCGTCTCCCCCATCCTCTCCATATGGAACGGCCGTTAAATGCGCTTCTCCTTCCCTCCAACTTCTCCGACCATCGCTTTCCACCTTCTTATTTCACATCTATTTCTGGTCTTTTTCCGGTTTTTCCATTACTTTAATTTACCCAACGAGACGAGAGTCGATCAGTCGAGAGAGAGCGCGCGCGCGCGTCCTGTCCGTGCGACTCCTTCTCCTGTTGACTTAAGACAACTCTCACGCGCACGCGGTAAGAAATCTGATGTAAAAGACCAGAGACCATCCATCAAACAGGAATCGGTCAATACATTCATTTCTCCTACCTTATATTTTGGGCCTAGTGTCATTTTAGTCCTCCAACTTTAAAATGTGATAATTTATCATCCAATTTTTCAAAATGTGTCAATCCAGTGCCTGTCATTAACCAGTCCATCAATCATTCATTAAGTGGCATTTGAAAAAACATAAATTCCCTTCGAGTGTCATCTAATTCTCTTTATCAACCATACAAATGTTGATAGAAAATGAACAGTCCCAAATCTTAGACGTGGCCCCAACTTTCTTGAATAGAAGAGGCAATGATTTGGGACTATTCATTTTTTATCAACATTTGAATGATTGATAAAGGGAATTAGATAACACTCAAAGGGCATTTATATCTTTTCAAGTACCACTTAACGGCTGGTTGACAGACTGGTTAATGGTAGGTATTGGATTGACACGTTTTGAAAGTTCGAGTGCTAAATTATCACGTTTTAAAGTTTGGGGATCAAAGTAGCACTAGGCCCAAAGTACAGGGTACTAATAAAAAAATCTCCCATCTTTTTCTATGCTCGAATATTTCATTATTCCACTTATTATTTCTATATCTATATTGAAGAGTCAATTGGCTTGGCTCAGTTGGTAAGCTCTCTGGTTGGTTGGTTGTAATAGTTGGGATCAGGGGTATTAATGGATTATGTTTGGGTTGAATCCAGTCTAAACTAAACTAATTTGAACATATTGGATGGTCCAATAAGACATATTGAATCAGACCCATCCAAACTTATTGGTCCAAAGTAATTATTATATTAGATAGGACCTGGTCTATTTGTAATGGTTTTACATCGGATCGGGTTGGATTGAACCAATATTCAGTCTATAGACAAAACATAAGAGTAGGGGTGTCAATGGATCAGGTTTGGGTTGAACACAATCTGATTTAAACCCAATTTGAACAGGTCAGATGGTCAAATAAGACATTGAACTAGAGTAGTCCAACGCAAAATATTTATTGGATTGGATTCAACCTGGTCTATATATAATGGACTCATATTGAACTAGATTGGATTGGACCAATATCCAGTTCATTGACAAACCTAGTTGGAACTTGGGATTTAAGTCCCACCTTGACCAAGGTTGATGGGGTTATGGGTTTGTGAACAGGCTACCCCCATTAAAAAAGAAAACAAAACAAAATTCTGGGTTGAAAAGCTTATAACCAATCAGGTGGTAGTTATCAAAATTCACACCAAGGGGGTTGTTGATTGAAGTTTTATTATTTTTTCCTTTCGCTGGCATGAGCATTAAATGGCAATTCTTCGTGTTGCTTGGTTTTTAATTAAAGAATACAACAGGTATACTCATAAATTATTAATAAATATATGACATTAAATAAAATAGAATAGAAAAACAAGATTCATGTAACCAACCCCATCTTAGAAGCATGGTTGTTAGTTGCATTCAATATTATAAACATTTTTCTTTACATAGGAAAGTTATCTAAAATCTCTCTTCACCTTACTTGGTAAATGTCTGAAAGTCCCCTCAACTTTTAGCTACCTCTAGTGGCTCCCTCTCAGAGACAAAAAGTAAAGAGAACAAACAATAAATCTTTTGTTACTAACCTAATTATCATGTTGATTGCATACCTTCATTCATATGATAATTTTATCTTTATTATATAATAATGTCAATATACCTAAAAATACGATCAAAACATAATTAGCCAATAAACTAAAGCAATAAAATGTATGAAAATAAATAGTGCCAAGTCTTAATGAACTAAATGGCCATAAGGAAAAGGTAGGGAAACTTATACAAACCTTGTGCAGGTTTCCCTACCTTTTCTTTAAAACCAAACACAGCCTTTAGTTACTTACTATCTCAAAAAGCTGTAGTTTTAAAATTTAAGTCATAGAGAGAACATCAAATTGTCTACCATAATTGTTTTCATTAGTCAATATTGAAATCTTGCACCACTAATATGTAAAAGAAAAAGCCATTAATTACCTAATATTGATCTTGCTATTTGGGGTCTTACGAGGGGTGGACTGGATATGGACCTAATTTTCAACCTTTTTGCATCAATAATTTTATCTTATAACAGAAAAGACTTCATCAAGCTAATAATCAATAAAAATATTTAGGAAATTTCATTTTTATAATGGGATTCAACTTGGGCAATTCCAACCCGAGGAGGGTCCCAGCTTTTCATTTTCGATTAATAATAGCCATCTAATTTTTCAATTATTAAAAGAAAAGTTATCCATAAATAACGTAGGGCTTATCTAGATTATATGATAAGGCTTTTGGGGCCGAACTTTTTCTCTTATGAGCCTATGGTGGATAAGAACGCAATTTGCTAAAATACAATCCACAACCCTAATCCTATTGAGATTTTCGAGATCAAAGGAAAATATATTATCAAGACCAATGGATGTTTTAGGCCTTTCTGAACCCAGCCTAGGTCTCATGACTGGGTTTGCTAATGGATTTTTTGCTTTTTAGTACAAAAAAAAAAAAAACAGCCCCAGGTCCAAGCCCAATCTAAAAAATCGAACCAAAAAATGCATTTAACCGAACTGACTGATATATGCATTTATATGAATATTATTTATATATTATATATAAATATATATATATATATATATATTATATTTATAATTGTCTATTTATAATATATACTATATTATAGATATACTACATATATTATATATATTTATTTATAATATATGTTATAAATAGTGTTTTTAAAACTGATTCGGAGGCCAAACTGTTTTTTCCTCTAGGTTTGCGAGTCACCGGTTTGATCGTCCAAGTCAAATGGGTCAGACCATGTCATGTCAGCAATACATAAATTTATATATCTATCTATCTATATATATATATATATATACACATATATATACACATTTATGTACATGTGTTAGGTATATATAAATATGTATTCTATCAATAAATAATATATAACTGTGCTCTACATGTAATATATGTATTATTTTATATTTAATTTATGTTTTTAATTTTTATTTATAAAAATATTAAAAATTGCAATTGAGGCAAAAAAAAGGGTTTTTTGGCAAAAATAGTGGGACAAGGCACCTACAGCCCTTTGGGATGCATATATCTCAAAAAGTTACCCAAAATAAAAAAAAAATCCCCTCAATCGAACATTAATCAAAGTGCAAAGTTATGGCCTCCTAAAGTTTGCATACACATTTAGTTGTGCAACCCGTGACCCGGTCTCCAAGTCAAATGGGTCAACGGCCCAACCATCCGGGTTGGACACTTTTTACTAAGTCAATGGGTTTTGACCATCCACCAGGTTTTACTAAAACAAGACCCAGAATCTTGACCAAGTGACGGTTTGAGTAATTCAACCAACCAAGTCAATGGTGGGTTGAAAACACGGATTATAAATATAAAAATAAAAAAAAACCGAATCAGTCAAAAACCAAAACCAGTCAACTAGTTAACCAATGGTACCGGTTTGGTTTTAGTTCAAAGATGTACAAAAATTGATAAAACCGATTTACTTTCAAAAAACCCCATAATTCAATTAATCGAAATGTGAGCATCCCTAGTTAAATCTAAATCTAAATCTATATATACTTTCTCTCCCACCCCTTTCCTAATTTCTTAGAATTTTGAATTTTCTATTTTTTTAATCCACGTAATTACTATGAAAGCCAATCACACTCGAGAGACATTTGGACTTCCAAAGCATCTCTCGCAGGTTTTCGTTTGGACTTCCAAAGCATCTCTCTCAGAGGTTTTCGTTTGAACTTCCAAAGCATCTCTTGCAGGCATGGTTCAAAGTATCGATACGATACGCTCGATACTGGATGTATCGTAACGTATCTTTTGAAAAAGATATAGTCCGAAATGCCTATTTCTAGGGTTTTGGACCCCCAATTTTTTTAATAATAAAAAATATCTTATAAGTTTTCCAAAAAACTAAACTTTGAAAACAACTAAAAAAAAAAGTATGTATCAGCCGTTTCTAAGTACCGAAACTCGTATTGTATCGATACTTTGAACCTTGCTTGTAGGTTTTAGCTTCAAACCTGTATTTCAAACATCTGAGATCGTTTTCTCTCTCTATCTCTCTCTCTCTTTTTCTTCTTCATATTTGTTGAGATTGTTGCATAGACAGTTTCCAGATAGTTGCAGAGTTAGTTCCAAATGTATGAGATCATCTTCTTTTTTCCCTCATGTTTGGTTTTCTTCTCCTTATTCCAACTCTCAAACCAATTATTTTTTGTTACAGAATTCGATTGAGAATATTTTTGCAAGGTTTTCTTCATTGGTTGCAGAGTTAATTTCTTCTCCTTATTCAAACTCACTTTCAGATTTGTTTTTTCTTTCGTTGGATTAACATTCTTTTTCAGCTTTGTTTTTTATTTAGCATTAATATTGCAGGTTTGTTTCTTCAGGCGAGTTAAACTTTGGTTCAAGTTCGGTTCTGGCGTTAAAGTTGTAGCAAGAATAAATCAGGTATGATTTCTTCAATATATAACGTTATTTTGTGTTAAAATTAACAAAAAACTGTTTCTGACATCCAAACCGGTTCATTATAAATAAATAATAATAAAAAAACCAAACATAAAATAGAAAAAAATAAAAATCGGATTGTCACAAGACCCGTTTTAACGTGCGGGTGGAGACAATGAAAATGGGTTGTCCTTGACCCGTTTCGAATAACCACTCGAACCCTATAGGTCTGAACCGTGTAATACACAGGTTGCTTAATATGTTAGCAACCCGTGTAATACACGGATTACTTAATATGATAGTAACCCGTATAGACACAGTTGCTAAATATGTTAGCAACCCGTGTACTATAAGGATTGATTTTTATTCATTTTAATAATAACAATAGTAATAATATTATACAAATAATATATTAAACTAATAATAAGAATAATAATTAATTTTTTTTGCAATTAATAACAAAAAATATTTGGAAAATTTAGGAA